TTTTTTTATTTTGAAAAATCACTGATAGAATATATTTTATTTTTAATTAAAATAAATATTACCAAAAATATTTTTTAAATGTAAGTACTTTTTTTGTAAACATAAGTATTTTTTTAGTGTATTTGTTTTATTTTATAGATCTAAAAACTCTTTTGGTTCAAAAAATATTTAGAGACTTAATCATTCAAAATATGAATGTTCATTGATTTTTTTCAGACTTTTTCCATTATTTTACCACAATAACCAGTTGTATAGCTCATAATGATGTATCTAACAGATTTTAAGAAGTCCAAGAAGTTATTTAACATGTTTTGAAATAACCATTGATTTATTTGTTCCAAAAAAATTATCCAAGAACTTAATCATTCCAAACACTAAAATCCATTGAGTTTGTAGACTTTTTCCATAATTTTATACTATAATTACGTAACATATATATATAATATATATATATAATTTTATACTATAATTACGTAATATATATATAAAAAGTATAATATTAATATACAAATATATTTATAATATATAATATATAATATATAATATAGATAGACTAGTTTAGTAACATAATATACACATTTAGTAAAAAAAAAAAAAAAAAGTGGTAGTTTGTCTCCGTTAGGAGTTGTTTACCAACATGCTTCTTAGATAAACGTTTGTCGGTAAAAAAACATCATCCATATTTATCTTATCTTGGTAAATATTTTAGGGGTTGTTTGTTTACCTTTTAATAGTTTCATTAAGAGGCAACCTCTGAATCATTAAGAGGTGAATCTTGTTTGACAAAAAAAAAAATTATCTCTTAATGGTTCTAAAACCCTCTGAATGATTTTGTATCATGGATCTCCCTTAACCATTAAGAGCCCTAATTTCATTGTACACAATTACTAAACAATTATATTTCATTTTGAATTATATCATGAAAGCCTCTTAATCATCCTGACCACTTAATCATTTTGCACTAAGTCATTCAGTAATTGTCAAACAGCCCCTTAGCCCCAATAAATTCTTACTGGTTAATAGTTTTTTCCTTCACTTACCGAGTACTCTTGGTTATTGCCATGTCTTTTTTCGGATGAGATTCTTGATTTTTTCCATATTAAATCGTTAAGATAAATAATATTGATAGACACTTGCTCAACAAACGTTTAGTAAACAATCCAATATTCCAATATTAATATTTTTGTGTTGTTATGTCTTAAATACAACATTATGTTTATGTTGACTATTTTTGGTACTTTATTAATATTGTTATTTATTTCCTTCATTTTAATAATGAAAAATACATAGAATTTTAAAAATAAATAATCACTGTATTTTTTAGATAATAAGGGAGTAAAAAATTCGTCTTATTTTGAGAGGGATGAATTAATAAAAATTAAAAGGAAAGGGTTTTAAGGATACAGCTTTCATCTTGTGGGGATGGCACGTGACAGCCAGTGAGTCAGTCATATTCATTCTCCTTCGACGTATGTCAACCCTCCACAGTCTTAACCCTGCTCTTTCTTCCAACCACCAACATCAAATGCATGAACCCCACTCCCTTATATAAACCCCACCCATCCTCACTCCTAATTCACAATCACCATCACCATCACAATGCCTTCTTCTCAGCCCCTTGTTCACATCATCTCTAAATCCACCCTCTTCCCTTCCACCAAATCCACCCTCTCCCACCTCAAACTTTCCGTTTCCGATCTTCCCATGCTCTCCTGCCACTACATTCAGAAGGGTAACCTCTTCAATCGCCCTCCCATTTCCATTTCCAATTCCGACCTCTTGTTTCTTCTCAAATGTGGTCTTTCTCGCGCCCTCACCCACTTTCCACCGCTCGCCGGCCGTCTCACCACCGATTCTGATGGATACGTCTACATCACCTGTAACGACGCCGGGGTTGAATTCGTCCACGCCAATGCCGTTCATTTGTCCATCACTGACATTACTTCTCCTCTTCATGTTCCTGATTCCGTTAAGGGGTTTTTCGCCTTTGACAGGACGGTGAGCTACGACGGTCATTTTAAGCCCATTTTGGCGGTTCAGGTGACCGAGCTTAAAGATGGTGTTTTCATTGGGTTCTCCGTCAACCACGCCGTCGTTGATGGGACTTCCTTGTGGAATTTTATCAATACTTACGCTGAGGTGTGCAGAGGAGCGAAACTTGTCTCCAAACAGCCGTCTTTCGTTCGTGACTCCGTGTTGATTTCGTCAGCGTGTCTGAGACTCCCCGCCGGTGGACCAAAAGTGACGTTTGACGAGAACGCGCCGCTGAGCGAGAGAATTTTTAGCTTTAGCAGAGAATCAATTTTGAAATTGAAGGACAGGACTAATAATAGGAAAAGGATGATTTTTTACGGCAATTCTGAAATTAACACCGACGAGTTATTGGGAAAGCAAAGGAACGATCGAATTACACACTCTGACGATATTGGTAATTGGATACGAAGCGACGTCGCTTTGAAGCCGGAACCGGTACCGGAGATTTCCTCTTTCCAGTCCCTATGCGCGTTGCTATGGCGGGCGGTGACACGTGCACGGAAGTTCCCAAATTCCAAAACGACAACGTTTCGGATGGCAGTGAATTGCCGACACAGACTGAAGCCTGAACTTGAAACATTTTACTTCGGGAACGCGATACAGAGCATTCCGACATACGCCACCGCCGGTGACGTGTTGTCACACGATCTGAAATGGTGCGCCGAGCAGCTGAACAAAAACGTGTTGTCGCACGACCACACAATGGTCTGTGGTTACGTGAAAAACTGGGAGAGTGACCCACGGTGTTTCCCGTTGGGGAACTTCGACGGAGCAATGCTAACGATGGGGAGTTCACCGAGGTTTCCGATGTTCGATAATGATTTCGGGTGGGGAAAGCCGGTGGCTGTTCGGAGTGGGAGAGCGAATAAGTTTGACGGTAAGATATCGGCGTTTCCAGGGAGGGAGGGTGGTGGTAGCGTTGACTTGGAGGTGGTGCTTTCGCCGGAAACAATGGCGGGCATTGAATCGGACCCGGAGTTCATGCAGTATGTTTGGGACAAGTGTTAGAGGGACGATTTGTATGTTTGTGAAGTACTAAGTTGTTTACTTGTCGTGTTTTAAAGTCATGTAAATCCAAATTTCTAAATTTTGCTTTTTTTTGTTTTTTTGTTTTTTTTATAATTGTAATTAAGTTGAAGCATGACGGAAATCTTGGTACATTCAAGTAGTCTTTTTAATAAGATATTTTAATTACGACTTTTTTTAATCAATTTAAAAATTTGTTCAATTTATGGAATAAATCTTTAAAATTAAAATTTTAAAGAGAAAAAGATATATTAATTGTTTAATATTAATAAAAAGTTATAAAAGGAAATTTTGGAGGGGATTCATTTATATAAAGTTTGTTAAATAATTAAATGTATTATATATTTTTATAATATAAAGTTTGTTAAATAATTAAATGTACATATTTGTTGGAGATTATCTTCTATATTTCAAAGACAGTGTGTAAAATTTGTTAAAGATGTTTTTAAAATTAGACATCGGGTTTTTTTTTATATTATTTCTAAATTAGTTTTAAAAGTTGGGAAAAGTCTAAAAAACATAACAAACTTTTCATATTTTGAATGATCAAGTCCATAAATTATTTTTTTACATGAACAAACTATTGAACTTTCTCATTAAATCCATGAACATTTTTTTAATAGATAAACCATTGATTTTTTAAAAATTGGTTACCTACATATTTTATTTACCCAAAAAACAACATATAACCAGTGGCTAGGAAGATTTTAAATTAATAAAAATCTAAATCAATTTTCTTGTTCACAGACCCTTGTGCATATAACTACATCACTCCTCTTCGACACTCCGTTGTGATCTCTTCTCCATATCAATCCGTACCATCAATCTCCCTCCCTCTTAATGGGGTAGATATAGATAGATCGGAGCCGATGACCCAAGACAAAATAAGCCCAAGGGGAAACAGCTCTCCAATTGGGCCATATTTTATACTAGGATTGGGCTTAGCATGCCTCCTTACTTCATAAAAAAAGAGTTAAATGCATGAAATAACAACCTATTTTCATAATTTTTTTTATTATAGCATTCTATTTTTGTTTTTATTTATTACAACATGTACATTTAAATTATTTTTTATTAAGACATCGTACTTTAAAGAATCTACCCATTATAGCAATGGGTAACCTGTTATATTTTAAACCGGTTAACCTTTGACTTTTTTTGCTTGTGTGGCTTTAAGAAGGTGATGTGGATGACACATCATTTTGATGACTTAGTTAAAATAAAAATAAAAACTTATTTCAAATTATTATTAGTGATTTTCATTTTTCATTATTATGATTTAAAAATATTTAATTTTTTTGATTTTTTTTTATTAAGTTGCATGCAAATTAAATATTCTAGAGTAAAATATTTCTTAAATAAATATGTTACATTATTTTCGAGATATATTTTGTTTGTAAAAAGGTAACACTTTTTATTTTATGTTGTTCAAAAAAATACATATCTTTTAAAGTTATCTCTAAATGTTAACGAAATATATTGTGTTATACAATTTTTTAATATTGATAGATTAATAAATAATTTAAAAAAATTTAATTAATTTATACGTCAAGTAAAAGTTTTTGAACAAATATAATATATTCTTTAAAAGATAATAATTTTTTGGTAGAAAAGAAACAATTCTTATTTTCCTTTTTTTAAAAACACATTTTTTAAAAATGTTAACGAGATGAGTTATCTTCTACTAGTTTTATTAATATTGGTATATTAGTGAATAATTTAGAATATTTTTAATTCATTTATTATATTTATTAAATAACATGTAAAATATCTATATATTAAAATTAAAAGTACATTGTTAATAAGAACTAGTAGATGCTATAATAAAATAATTTTGAAAGTGCAATGTATAATAAGAAAGTAACATCACTATTGTACATGTGGACGACCTACATGGATAATGAGGTGGCATGAAAACCTGGTATAATGAGTAAATTTAAATCAAAAGGTTACCCAATGCTATAATGGGTAAAAAAATTTCAAAGTACAATGTTCTAAGAAAAAATAGTTTGAAAGTACATTGATGTAATAAGAAAAACTGGAAATACAATGCTATAATAAAAAAATTTATGAAAGTAGATCGTTATTTTGTGCATTTTGCCTTAAAAAATACTAGAAGAGTACTCGTGCAATGCAGGGAGATACATCTTGATTTTAATATTTCGTTTTATTCTATTTCCGTCAATGTTATAATCTGATATTATGAGGCAATGAAAAAAAGATAATGTTTTTATTTTTCGAATAAAATATAAATTTGAAGGTATCATGCAATTTTGAAAAATATTTGTTGATTTTAATATAAAATTAGATATATAAAAGTGCTTTGTTTCATTTTGAATAATTTTCTTAATTCAATTTTTTTATTATAATTTAATTGAGATTTAATAATGAAGTAATTCATTTTTATTTTAATAATATAATTTTTATACAGATAATGATTAGCATTTTGTTAGAATTCAATAATATCATAAATATATTTTTAGATCTTTTATATTTAAAATGAGATACTTATCTAATAATTGATTATGTTTATCTGCAGTTAGTTACACAAATTCAAACATGAAGCTTTAATAAGTTGTACTTAAACACAATTTACTTATAATGTTGAATTTTAAGTGATATGCATCAATAAACAGTACTTAATACATAAAAAAGGTTTTTAAAAGTTTTTATGAATTGCTTCATTTCACATGTATTTTTAGTTTGCTTTAATTAGTGTTTTTCTATTGAGGGCATTTTTAACCGATTTCGTCCGGTGCATCAAAAAAAACCTCAGGACTGGCACTGAGATGAATCAAAAAAGAGGAATAATTGAAAAACAAAAAAAATATCAAAAAAAGGAAGATCGAAGGCCAATGATGGTGATGGGTTGGGGACTGATAGAGAACATATGATGATGGGGTTGTGAAGGGTGGCAAGGGGAGGGATGGCGTTATAGGTTGCTTTTTTTGAGTTAAAAAGATGTAAGTAACTAATTTGTAGAAGTTAGATAGTTTATATATTCTAAAAAAAAGTTACGAGACTTAATTATTTAAAATGAGAAAGTTCAATAGTTTATTTATTAAAAAAATTTAGATACTTGAACATTCCAAATTGGAAAATTCATTGAGATTTTCAACTTTTCCGTTAAAAGTTTGCCTAAAACTTTGGAATGCATTTGAATCAATTGAATTATGCAATGTCAGGTAGGGAGATCTAACTTATTAGTCTAGTGCTTCAGATGCTTGCTAGTACGAATTATCAAAATTTAAATTTATTTTATTCTTTTTATTATTAGTATTGTGATACAATTTATTGTATGTTTTAATACGTTTTACGTAAAAAAAAAACACAACGCAACGCAAAATATGGTTTGGTTTACAAGTTCAGAAACAGAAATCAAACACCATATATGATTTTATTCTAAACCATAATATGGACACCCTTGTGAAAATGGGGTGCAAGTAACCTTAGATATGTTATTATGATATGTAGCAACTTCACATTTGTTATCATTATAATGCTAAAAGCAAAATAGTAATGGTGGTGATTGGTGAGAGCCATATGCCCATTCCTTGTAGGTTGGTTCATGGTCCATACCTAATCATCCGTACGAAGAAGACCCATTTCATCTAGATTCACGTTAGAAATAAAATAAAAATATTCTTCTTTAACTGTATTTTGTCAACAAAAAAAACCCGAACATTTTGACTTGTGAGATTGGTCAAACAATCTGATGAAATTTTTTTGACATGAAATCAAATATTTGATGACAAGAAATTTTATTCTATTTTATGAGATTGTTAAATCTTTCAGGTGATCATTAAAATTCATATAAACTTTATCATTGAAAAATATAAAAAAGTAAGAAACCAATTTATAATCATGTTTGTGTCGGTCATCATGTTATACCACACTTAATCATTCATTCAGTTATTTTCGGGGCCGTTTAGGTAAATGCTTACCGGTAAAATTTAACACTATTATGTACTTATCATGTAAGATTTTAATCCACCAAAACGACATTGTATGCAACAATTTACCCGGTAAGTGCTTACCGTGGTAAAAGGATGTCCATGTATGTCAAGGTCCCTGACAGGCCAACTCTGAAGAAGGGTGGGAAGAAGAAACTCAAGCTCTCTGATCCTAATGATGGACCATTCTTAAGAAACGAACATGAAACAAGGTTCTCCTTAGATGAAGTCCTGAAGGGTCATAAGAGTACATACATTTCTATGTTGAATCTTGACTTGACAGATAAGGGTCCCTATACACCCAACTCTGTGCATTTTAAACCTGAGTTAGGATTTATATTCCTTGACTATGAAGGTGAAGTCATATTTCAGAGAATGTCAGAGCTACATCTATGTACAATGGATCATTTGGTTTATCTTTTGCTCTGGATAGATGATAGCATGCCTGGAAAAGTCGTAGATCTGAAGATACGTAGGGAATTCCTACGTCGAAGAAAACTTGGTGAAAATGTACCTGGTTACATAGATCTAAGAGCTCTAGAATAGTTTCTCTTTGTAACAATAATCCACTTTTCCTTATAACTTCATGTACTATGTCTACTTTCAGTGATTGTAGTTATATTCTGTAAGTTCTAGACATGTACTGTAATACTTGTAATATTTTATATGATTAATAAAATGAGTATTTCATGTACTTCAATGAAAAAGATCCCTGAAAAAAGTAATAGGGACACAAGTCTATGAGTTCCAATGTTATTTTTCACATTCGCTAACAATTTATAAGTCAGTGAATAAGCTTTCATTTTCAGTTTCCGTTCTTGCAATTTTCTTAGATATAACTTATGAAAATTTTCAAGCTGAGACTGGCTAACTGAAAAAGATCTTAAAATAGTAAAAAGGGATATGTACTTCATATGTAACTTTTTCTTACTATTATTTGATAAGATAACTTTCTTTATGTTATCTTGTTATCATCAAATAGGGGGAGATTATTGATCCTCTCTCTCAGTAATTTGATGATAATCCCTTTTCACTTATACATTGTATTTATGTTTCTGTCTTTTCAATTCCAGCGATCTTCACTCAGTATATTCAGTGATCGCTGAAGAACTTGCATTGTAATTCTATCAGAGACATCAATACTTCAATAAGACAACACCCACATCAAAGAACCTTCAGCAAACGTCAAAGACTGAAACTGAAGATTAGAGACTGACGAGTACATGATCTGAAGCGGTATTCAGTGATTACAAGTTTGTCTACATATGTGTGAAGATTGCTCAAGCTTCAGCGAATGATGATGAGACCTTCAGGTCATTCCAACATTCAGCGATCAAAGAAAGCTTGCTTAGCATGATTGTTGTTGTCTTGTCCTTATCCACACAAAGGACAAAACTCATACCCTTATGAAAGTTGGTACGGTACGGAGCCGACTAGTCGACTCTATTGTCCACCAACTTTAGGTAAGGATGTCTGCTCATAAATAATGTTTTTGTACTATTCACTGTAGCAAAGGACAAGTCTTCATCTTAAGGCTTGACACGTACTTTAACCCTACCATATTGCATTAAATGTTCATTTAATGTACTGGGTATAAATAGAAGTGTTTCTTCTACATGCAAAGTGCGCGCAACTCTCTCTAACCATAATTCTTACTTCAAGCATTTTCTAGCTTAAGTAAATGATCTTCTCTACAACATTTCTTTTCTTGTATTTGTTAAGATTTAGTGTGTAACTAAAGATTGTTTAGATAGGTTTTTTAATACCTTATCCGCAAACAATCTTGTAAAATATGTATTGATCTTCTTTATCAATATATATTTTAAATTTAAAAATATTGTGTTTGTATTCATCCCCCCCACTCTTCTACAACTTGTATTTAGGGTTATAAACGAACTGAACGTTCAGCGAACCGTTTGTGAACCGTTTGGCGGGAAGTTCGTTTATGTTTGTTTATTTAATAAATGAACGAATATGAACAAATTTTTTTGTTCATTTAATTAAACGAACGAACATGAACAAGAGTCTCGTTCGTTCATTTATGTTTGTGAATGTTCGTTTACGTTCGTTTATATATTAAATTTAATATATAATCATTTATTTATTTACATTGAATTCAAATAATATTTATTTATGTTCGTTTAACCCGTTCGTTTATGTTCGTTTAACACGTTTGTTTATGTTCGTTCGTTTACGTTCATTTAGCATGTTAATGAACGAACATAAACGAACACGAACACACCTGATTTCTAAACGAACGAACATGAACACAAATATTTTCGTTCGTTTACCATTCGTGTTCGTTCGTTTGTTCGGTTAAGTTAAACGAACGAACATGAACAAGCCTCCGTTCGTGTTCGTTCGGTTCGTTTACAGCCCTACTTGTATTAATGCTAATTAACGTTGCATCATCATTTAACTAAACAAGTTTATACACTTATAATTATTCACAAAATTTGATAGAATTTATACATAATAATATTTTGAAAATACGTTAAAAACATTCATTTTTAAAATAATCAGTTAATTTAACTGTTTTATAGTTTATTTTTATAAATTATCTATAAACAATGGACTTTAGCTCCATTCTAAATTTTACAAACCAAAGATTTCAAATATGTCGAATTCAAAATCTTTTCATGAAATCCGAACCCCTGTCAAAGCAAACATCTATGATTCATCTTTTTGAGTTTAGTTCAAAAAATTCTCATTAACTAAAGTTGGACATCTTGACATTTCCTTTTATTTTTGTTTTAAGGTTCTGATTGGTTTGCAGGATTGTTTTTAAAGGATTTGGATTGAAATGGATTTAAAATCATTGATGTGTTTGGTTTGTAAGATTTTGAATGAAATTAGATTTCATTATTTATAAATAATTTATTAAAAAAATTATAAATAATTACAAAAATAATTAAATTACATTTTTATTAATCATTCCATTGTGGCTTCCTTTCCTTACATTCACTTGGGGTTTCTCTACTGTTGTGATATTGAGGATATCAACTACACCCACAAAACCCCTCTCAAGCATCAATTTTGGGTTCAACATTTCATCAAATCAAGAACTCTTGTTTATTAGACCCTAATGCGGGGTTTCAAACGGCTAAACCCGTATTCTAACCCGCTTTGACCATTAATTTAACTTTCAGTTGCCTTTTTTTTAGAACTTAGCATAAAATTCACTCAATATCAATTCCCAATATTATAACTTGATAAAAACAATACATTTGAAGGTCAAAATATCTAAGGGAACATAAATGTCCAAAATTCTGGGTGTTACATATTACCACATAAGTATGAGGTGTATGTTCAGTATTATATATATATATATATATATATATATATTGTTGTTTTAAGGTTATTTACATAAATAGTCAATTTATTAAAGTGATTTCACTTGTTAGTCATTTTAGAAATCTTTTTCATCAAATGGTCAAAGTTTACACAAAAAAAAAAACTTTACGCAATTTTCTATGTAAAATTTACTTTCAGGCAAAGGAAAGAAAAATAATTTAAAAAGAGACTTTACGCAAAAAGGGACTTTATGCAGAAAATCTTTTTTCTGTCTAAAGTTTCTAATTGATTAAAAAATTTACACTTTACAGTCTTATAATTAGTTTATTTAATTTGCTTTATATCTCTTATTTTTTTATTTTTCATTTTACACATTTATTATATTATCACACATAATCGTATATTAACTAAAAAACACGTTTCTTTTTTATAAATTGCACTATTATAATCGTCTCGTTATTACGTTCCTGGTATTGAATTTTTTTTTGTTTGAATCATATTATTAGATATCATAAATCTGTAACTATCACTACCAAACAGGTCAAACATTTACGGCGGATTTCTAGCGGATTTTTTTCCAGGCAGAAAATGGCCGCCGGAAATTTTCCCCTGGTTTATTTTAAAAAATCTTGATTAAATTAATAAAAATTAACGAGTTTTTCAAAAACAAAATTGAATTAAATTATCGGTGGATATATCCGCTGGTAAATATATCCAAAGAAATAGTGTCGGAATATATTTACATGCGGATTTCCGGCTGAAGTCAATGAAAGTTGAATTTTTTGTTGTATGCTGGAAATACCCAGTTTTCTAGTAGTGTATAAGCGTATAAAATATAAGTATTAATAATATTTGATGGTATAAGGTTAAATCCAAAAATATTTAATATTGGCTCGTTTTGAACATATTAACGAGACTATTTTAATCGTGTAATTTATAAAAGAAGAAACATGTTTTTTTATGTATTTTAATTAATATATGATTACGTGTGTTAACATAATAAATGTGTAAAATGAGAAATGAAAAAACAAGAGATATAAAATAAATTAAATAACCAATGATAAAAGTATAAGTATAAAAAAAATAATCAATTAGAAACTTTAGGCAGGAAATAGATTTTTTTTTACATAAAATCCTTTTTTAATTATTTTTCTTTCTTTTGCCAGAAAATTCATTTTTCGGTACAAAGCTTTTTTGGTAAACTTTAGCTATTTGGAAAAAAATATATTTCTAAAATGGCCAAAAAGTAAAATCATTTTAATGAATTGACTATTTTGTGTAAATTTCCCGTTGTTTTAGTCATTGAAATAAACCTATATATTCTTCCTACTGTTTTTTTATTAACCTGGATATCCAACCTGCTATGCGAGCCGACTAATCTCAGGACGACCACCTGCTTTGCAGATAGCCTGGAGTCATCGCATTTGAACCTCCATGGCCACAAGGGGATTTTTATTTCTGCTTGGATTTGAACCTGATACCTCCTGGTACTTTTGACATTTGGAGTCAAGCTCAAACCAATCATACACAACCCTTGTGGTTATTCTTCGTATTGTTCAAATGTTCATTGGTGGCATCCATCATTACTAAGGGGAAGACTTTTACTTATGGAGTTTTTCCTGGGAAATCCATCGCTAAAGAGTGATTCCTCTCAAAACTGTCATAAAAATTGGTGAGTAAATTGTTGGTGGATAATTCAAATCAGTTACAGATTACCTAGACATTTTTTGGGTGATCCCTTGGTAACTACCCAAGTATTGGTATTTTTTGAATGATCCATGGGTATTCATCATCGAAAATTTCTCCAGATGATTTTTGTAAGTAAAAATTATTTACTTTGTAGTGCATTAAACCTAGTAATTTTCTAAGTAACCCAAAGTCATAGCATTGGGTGTCAAAGGGACTGTTGTTGTTGGAATGAATTGATGAAGGGGTAAAAGTGAAAATTAATTAGACTTGAATGGAAATGCCCTTATCACAACTTGGTGGTAGAACGCCGCTAATGCTGCCCCGCCGAATGGTCCCGCCCAAAATATCCACTGCAAAATACACAGCAGTCTTTTATTTACATCACATGCATTTTATTATTAAATTATTGTATTTATATTAATTAAAATTAAATAGTTTTTGAGCTTCAATCGTATGAATTTTGATTATTTTAGAAGGAAAAGTATAAAAGATCCCTTTTTCTGCATTTTAACTTGTAAATGCCCCAATCTTTTGTTGATATAAAGGGGTGTTTGAGATTGTTTATTTGAAACAATTTATATTTTTCTATAAAAGTATTTATCAACTTATTATAAGTTAGAATGTTTTAACTTTTTCAAAAACTACTTATTACCAGTTTGGCACCGGTATAAATTGTTTATCCAAACACTTAAAAGTGTTTACTACCGGTGTCACACCGAAATAAGTCAATAAGTTGTTTTTATAAGCAATTCCAAAAACTCCTAAATAACCATTAATAAAATTATTTGTGGGCTTACATGTTCATCCCATGCGTGCTTCTCGTTGTAGATAAGGGCAGCAGCCAGACTCCTCGCCGGATTAATCCCGGTTCCGGTGATTGGGATCGTGGCTAAGTGCACCAAGAACACCGCAAACCCAATTGGCAATGGCGCCAAAATCTGCAAAATTAATCGATCATTGCCTTCATTTTTGTTCATGTGTTAACGAGTGCGTAATTATTAATCATATTGTATACGTACAGGGACGCGGGAGTCTCGGGCACTGAACTTGGCGTCGGTGGCAGAGAACACGGTGTAAACAAGGAGGAATGTGCCGATGATTTCCGCCCCCAGGCCAGCCAGCTGGGTGTAGCCATCGGAAACCACGTTGGCACCACCGCTGTGTAGCTCGAACACACTGTTTCCTTCAAACCCCTTGACAACGATGGCACCACAAATGGCACCAAGGCATTGCATCACCATATAGAACAAGGTCCTCGTTAACGACAATTTTCTACCCACAAACAATCCGAATGTGACGGCGGGATTTATATGACCGCCTGCCACCAGTTCCATGGATGGTTAATTAGATGCAGCAATTGAATTAGAGATTGATAATTAGGGCGGAGGTCCACCCACCTGAGATGCCGGCTGTGCAATAGACGAGTACGAAGATCATGCCACCAAAGGTCCAGGAAACTCCAAGGGCTCCGACGGAGGAGCATTTGGAGGGGGAATTAGAGACTTGGATTGCGGTCAAGAGGGTGATATATAAAAAGAGGAAAGTGGCGATGAATTCAGCGATGACAGCCCTGTAAAAGGACCAGCAGAAGAGCTCGGCCACCTCGAACAATGGAGCGGCGGGAGGTTCTTGGTAATCTTTATCGTGGATCTGAGCCTCCGTCCCCAGCGGCCGTCTTTCCCCAAATCTGTGAGTTCCCAATCGAACACCATCTTCTCTTCCCTCCATTTTTTGTGTGAAATTAATTTCTCTCTCTAAAAACCGATGGTATTTGTAATGGAAGCGACTGGTGGTTAATAATTAATATAAATACACTGGTTGTGGTTGTGGTTGTGGTTGTGATGGATGGTAAGTCATTTGATTCGATTACAACTAACCAATTCAACCATAATTGATCCAACAAATCATCATCTTATAGATTTACAATTCAAATTTTCCAGTATGAAATAGGGGTCTTCATCGGTTGAAATCCAATGGATTTAAGTAGATCCGATCCGATCCAATCATCCATAGGATGTTGGATTTTGTCATCCGATCCGATTCTATTAGGATTCAACATTCGATCAAAATCCAATGGATGATTGGATTAGATCAGTTCCATCCATTAAATGTTACTATTGGTTATTCATTGGATTATATCGGATTCGTCCAATCTTTTAATCCAATACTCAACCAATTAATTCACAATTTCAACCAATTATTCGCATATTTTCTTAATTTATTACAAAAACAATGTAAGTAAATATCAACCCAAAAACATTATCATAAAATGTATATAATTATTAACTGAATATTAGTTAGATGATAATTAGATGGTCATTGAATGAGGAAATGGATCAGTTCGTTTTTGCAATCCAAATACCAACCAATTTGAATGTTAAAATTTGGATCCAATCCAATCCGATGATAATTAGATATCCGATTATGGTCGGTCGATTCTAATTGGATCAACAAGTTTAAATTGAATCGGATGACTTTCTACACACCGCTAATATAAACTAGCTTAAATACATTAATTAATTTGAAAAATATCATAATTTAATACATAAATCTTATTTTTAAGATGCAAAAACCCAAAAAGAAAAGACCTTCTCCATGTTGCCGAAGTTACAAGCATGAAGCAGTCTTGGGTGGATGAACCCACTGCTGTTTTAAGTTGGTTGTATACATAATTGTTTCAAAATATATATTCTACTTTTATATATAATTATTAACCAATAATAATATCCCATAACAAAATAGATCACGTAGAATCATCCAAAATTCAATACTYTTCAATGATATCCGACAACACATCATTTCAACAAAAACGTAATAAACACTCAACTTGGCTATTCTATATTATAAGGAGAAGATAGATCACTCACTAATCGAACAAACTGAAACCCATGTCATCATCCGATTCCTCAGCAGGCTCTTTGTAACACCTCGGTTAATAACCCAAAATATACATACGGGATATCATTTCTAGGTAATCCATCAAAAGTTAATTACATTTTAGTAAGTATTTGAAAATCCAAAATAAAAGCTTACAATCCTTAAGATTAAACATTTACTAACCAAAAGTCGGGTCAATATAATAACTATTCGGATACATTTACAAC